TCATAGGGGGTCATATGATTGTTGGGTTTTTCTCTGTATCTATTATTGTACGATCTACTGTACAATATAAAGCGCCTTGAGGAAACTGCTGTTGCGATTTGGTGCTATATAAATAAAATTGAATTTAATTTAATATCATGCAGTTCATCTTCTCACCAGCAGAGGGCCACAAATCACCATCCATGAAGAGTTCAGGGAGAGAGATAAGAGCTGTACTTAATGATCTGATCAATATGGAAGTTCATGTTTTTTTCTTTGATTGGATCAGTTTTAAAAGCAGCTCTTTTTATAGAATGACAGAAACATGGGAGATGCTCATTGTTTTTAATATTTGATACATTAAGTAATATTGGATGTCCAATTATTCAGCCATGATGGAAACATCCCATTAAGAAAGAGAAATCAAACATTTGAAATCATTATAATGACCTCAGACTTGTTGAAAATGCAGAGGAGCTGGTTGTGAACTGAGCTTCAGAGAAACACAACATACTGAAATTCAGTGAGAAGCTTTAAGTGGAAAAAGACCCAAAAACAACATGTAGGTTGGAATGAAAGCACCTGGTCCTGGAATGATGGGAGTGTCCTGATTCGTATTTGAGGGAAGAGACATACGACTGGGGGTCCATTGTCCGTCAAAACAATGATTTTATTAAAACACATATATGTGGGAAGTCGAGCCCAATCACTGAAACAGCATCGATCTTCTCCGAACAATAAATGGGGTGTCATATATATAACATAGTTGATGACGAGTATTATGCGTCAGAGCAGATAAAAAAACATACATGAGTTCCAGTAATTCCAGCCTGGACATATTCTAAAAAAGTACAGTTCCTTCCTCTGTTCCTCCGCCACCGCCAGATGCTTCCTGTTATTTCACTTACTGCACTTCAGAACAGAACATGAGCATGCCGTTTACAAGCAAAACAAATCTATATACTGTGCATGTGTGCAGGCAGCCCATGTGTCTTGACCTCAGTGCATGACCTCACTCAACAAACAAAGACATTTTAGAAGTATACTTCCTGACTCCGTTTGAGTCATCTGTTACCAGGCAATCTCCAATGCAGCAGGCTGCTGAGAGCACACACAGGCCTTTAATATGTGGTAAATTGTACTGTAAGCATGTATGCAATTCTTTCAATAGCTGTGGGTCACCTTAACTTTCTCCACTGATCGGCCAGATGTCGCGCTGCCGTCTTTAAAAGGACTAAAAAGGAAGAAGTTCACAAGGAATCATTTAGACAAGTTTCAAACATCAACTGATAGAATCCATGAATCTGAAAACGTGTTTCTGTGTGAAAGAGACAGACATGTACAGACTGAACTATCTGTTCAACAGTCAGAGTGTTTCTCTAACAGGAGGACACTCTTTACACTCCACTCAGCACAGGGACACTGAGGAACCCAGACCGACTCTAAATCCAGGGTAAAGAGGTTCAGTGAATGTGGTGTTGAAGGTGTGGAGGTGGATCAGAGTGTCAGAGGAGACTCTGTAGAAGGACAGAGTGCCAGCAGGACAGTCCACATACACTGCTACTCTGTTGGAGACAGATGAGGAGGAGGAGGAGGAGGAGGAGATGTATGTGTATCTGTTATTATACCAGACATGGTAATCAAATCTATCAGAGCACTCCAGACTCCACGAATGATCATTCCATCCAAACCCACAGTCAGTTCTGTCTCCTTTCCTTCTGATTCCTCTGTAACTCACTGAAATATAAACATATCCTCTCCACTCGACCTCCCAGTAATAACGACCAGTCAGACCATTTCTACACAACAGCTGAACCCAGTGATCGAATCTGTCTGGGTGATCAGGATATGACTGAACCTCCATCACCTGCGTCACCTTCCTGTTGTTGTCAGACAGTTGGAGCTTTGTGTTCACTGTGTTTGTGTCGATTGTGAGTTGACAGGAATCTGATGGAGAGAACAAACACAATCCAGCTGCAGTTATTGATCCATCATCTGTTCATTGATTGACACTTTGATGATGACTCCTGACATCACAGATGTGAATGAGTGATGTGACAGTTTGAAGATGATTTAATGTGTGCTGTTTTGTTTTCATGAATCCCATTAAAACACACTTACACTTCCTGAGACCTGTCCTCAACCATTGCATTCCAGCAGGCTCCACCCTGAAAGGAGGAGGGCGGTCAGACCAGCACAGTCTCTTTCAGCATGCACACATGGACATTACATGGCTCTCATACACATAATGTTAGACACTGATAAAGAAACAGTCCAACAGAACATTTTGGACTGTCAATCCATATGGAGATCAACCTGCTGATGATTAGGACTGATCCTGGATCTGTCAGTACCAGGGGCGATTTTAGCCCATTTTTGGGGTTGCTTCAGAAGAGGGACGGGGATAAAGGGCAAAAAACAAAAACCAACAGAATAAGCAGACAAAAAATACATATATCAATCACCTGTATCACCTGTTGAGAAAGAAAAAAGAAAACAACAGAGTCCGGGACAGCCCACTCGACCCCACCACAGAGAAAACTGCACCCACCCCATCATTTGTAGCCTACTGTTGTTACCACTGTCCTGTTTGAAATGGAATAAGAGAAGCTGGTTATTTTGAAACCCAGGAGCCACATTCAAGTAAAAGTGTAAGAACAAATGATCCGTCAATAAAGGATAACGTTGGATCAGTGTTTCAATATTTATATCTTTTAATAGATGTACATGTGGTTTGGTTATTTGCCTTTTGGTTGAAAGTACACTGAGAGAGGAATTTTTTTATTAATGATCTTAATAATATATATATATTTTTCATATTAATCCAATTTTTTCACCTAATTGAATACAATCTATTTGTGTATGATTGTCATTCCAAAGAGGGAGAGAGGAAAGAGAGGAACATGAGGAGAAAGTGCAAGGTCAGGAAGAACCAGGTATGGAAAAAGACAGGGATTAGTGACAGGCACAACAGAAACTGTTAAACTGCTTGAGAGAGTTTACCACCAAGATAATTTGCCAAATTCAAGGTGAGGTGACATAGGTTGAAATAAAAGAAATAAATCTGCAGAGCCATAGTAGCTGCAGTAAAGATATTTTCATACATTGTACCATAGACAAAGTTGCTTCCATTTTTATATATTTTTTCTCAATATTTTTTACATTTGTACATTTCAAGGACTCTTTTTTGGAGTCTATTTTCATATATCTGTATTGTATTATACATACACATTAAAAGTGAATGTCTGTCCAAAAAAATGCACTCAGTTTACTTCTTACTTACTATGATCATCATTCATCACTTTCCCCAGTAAAGTAGTTAAGGTTAGGATATGTTTTTTGATGAATTTAAGAATCTTATGATTTAATAAAGAAATTTGCAGACTTGCATAGAGATGGTAAAATTATGATGACTGATAACGGAGGACAGGGAGGAACAGGGGTTTAAATGCACCAAGGAGACAGTCAGAGAGAACTTGGGGACAACTGGAGACATTTAAGGATGCAGGGACTGACAGAGACGGGGAAGAAGTCTCATTGTGACGAGTAAAGTTTATCTTGCCTGCAGTTCTCTGGGTGCTCAGCACCCCCAAAATCTCTGATCCTAGAATACCCCTGGTCACTACACCACTCTATTTAATTATTTATGACTGATTCAAACTCTGACCTTCATTCATCCATCCATCCATCCATCCATCATCTATTTCCGCTTATCTGGGACCGGGTCACGGAGCTCAGCAGCCCAAGAAGAAAAGCCCCAACCTCTCCCCAGCCACCTCTCCCAGTTTGTCCGGGGAAACACCATGGCGTCCCCACACCAGCCGAGAGATCTGATCCCTCCAGCATGTTCTGGGTCTGCCCCGGGGTATCCTCCTGATGGGACATGCCCGGAACACCTCATCCAGGAGGCATCCTTGTCAGGTGCCCAAACCACCTCAACTGGCTCCTTTAATGTGGAGGGGCAGTGGATTTACTCTGAGCCCCTCCCGGATGGCTGAACCTCTCACTCTATCTCTAAGGGAGAGGCCAGCAACCCTTCAGGGGAAGCCCATTTCTGCCGCTTGTATTCGCAGTCTTGTTCTTTAGGTCACTGCCCACAGCCCGTGACAATAGGTTAAGGTTGGGACATAGATTGACCAGTAAATTGAGAGTTCTGCTCTTATGATCGGCTCTCTCTTCCCCACAACAGACTGGTAAAGTCTCTGCATCACTGCAGCGGCAGCACCAATCCATCAGTCGATCTCCCGCTCCCTTCTCCCGTTACTTGTGAAAAAGACCCTGAGATACTTAAACTCTTCCACTTGGGGCAAGAACTAGTCCCTGACCTGGAGTGGGCACTCCACCCTTTTCTGGCTGAGGACAATGGCCACAGATTTGGAGGTGCTCTTCCCACCTGTTCACACTCAGCTACGAGCCATTCCAAAGCAAGCTGGAGGCCATCGCCCAGTGAAGCCAACATACACCCCATACTCCTGGAGCCCCCTCACACAGGACACTCCGAGGGACATGGTCAAATGCCTTCTCCAAGTCCACAAAACACATGTAGACTGGTTGGGCAAACTCCCATGCACCCTCAAGTATCCTTGAGAGGATAAAGACCTTATCCAGTGTTCCACAACCAGGATGAAAAACGGCATTGTTCCTCCTGTATCTGTGGTTTGACTCATAGACGAACCCTCCTTTCCAGCACCCTGGCACAGACCTTCCCAGGGAGGCTGAGGAGTGTGATCCCCCTATGGTTGAAACATACCCTCGGGTCACCATTCTTAAAGATGGAAACCACCATCCCGGTCTGCCCATGCAGAGGTACTGCCCCTGATCTCCATGCAAAATTCCAGAGGGGTGTCAACCATACAACATCCAGAGCCTTCAGGAACTCGGGACAAACCTTAACCACCTTCAAGGGTCTCTGCCACCAAGGAGTTGTTTAACTGCCTCAGTGACCTCGTCCCTGGAGATTGGCAGGTCATTCCCATCATCTCCAGATTAAGGAGGCCTTCAAAGTATTTCTTCTAACACCAGACTATTTTCCCAGTTGAACTCAGTAGAGCTCAACCCGCACTATACACAGTGTAGGATGAACACCATTTTGCCTTTCTGAGTCGCCTGACGATTTGCCAGAATCTCTTCGAGGCAGCCCGAAAGTCTTTTTCCATGGCCTCTCCGAACTCCTCCCACACCTGAGTTTTTGCTTCAGCCACTGCCCGAGCCCCCTTCCACTTGGCCTGTTGGTACCTGTCAGCTGCCTCCAAAGTCCCACAGACTAACCAAGCCTGATAGGATAGGACTCCTTCGGCTTGGTGGCTCCCGTCACCTCTGGTGTCCACCATTTGGTTCAGGGGTTACCACCAGGCACCAACCACCTTGCGGCTGCAGCTCTGCGTAGCGTCTTCGACAATGGGCATGAGGTACATGGCCCAGTCAGACTCAATGTCTCCAGTCTCACGGAATGCTGTTGAAGCTCTGCCGGAGGTTTGCATTAAAGATCCCGTGGACCAGGGCCTCCACTTTACATTTAGGGTAGCCAGGTCTGTCCAGTGTCCTCCCCTGCCAACTGATCTAACTTATTACCAGGTGGTGATCAGTTGACAGCTCAGCCCCTCTCGTTACTCGAATGTCCAGAACATATGGTCCTAAGTCTGGTAATACGATTACAAAATTGATCATCAACCTGTAGAATAGAGCATCCTGGTGCCATGTGCACTTATGGACACTGTTATGTTCAAATATGGTGTGGCAAAACCCCGCCAGACAGTGTGGGGAGGGTGGGGGGTGTCCCTGGGATCCCTGGGACACACAAACCCCCCCTCCACAATAAGTTAGCGATTCTGTTTAGAAGGAAAGGACACTTCCCTGCCTTTGCTGCCAGCTGTTTTCCCCCTCTTAGTGTCAATGTGGTTACTGTACAAGACCTCTGACCTCTCTGTGAGTGCAGTGTTGTTTTCATGTGTTTTAATGCTGCCTGAAACCTCATGTTCTGATTTAATAGCAGATATCGCCACATCCACAAAGCGAAATTTCTGCCTCTGTCACACACAAAGAGTGGACTATATATATATATATATATATTTTAATATTTCATGTTGAAACTATTAAGGGACAAGTGTATTTCCTCAGCAATCACTCTGGTCCTCTTGCTAGTGCACTGAATCGTTCTGCTGTCAACTGGTATCACAGAGAGTTACCTGTCAGTCTCCTTCTGTCCTCTCAAAGTCTGAAAATTAATTTGTCATTAAGATTCCTTTCAGTCTGAGTTATTTTAACATTACTGACAACTCAATGAAGACAAAGTGTAAAGTAGAAAATCATTCATTTTACAATATTCATTCTAGTCCATCAAAGTAGAACAATAAAGATTAAATTGTGACTGTTGTTGGTAAGCATACACTTAAGTCTGTGAAGGTTATCAGTCATCCAACTCATCGTAGTCTAAAGAGCTTGGAAAGAAAAGTATCTGGACTCCTTTAAGTTTCTTGAAGACATTTCTCTTTCGAGAAGCTTCTTCAGTTCTAAGCGCAAATGGTGGAGAGTTCCAAATTTTGAGCCTTGTGGGAGTGTCCGCAAGATGGTCATGGACCCCTGTTGATCCTCTAACTAAGCACATGAGTCTTTTCTTTTGGCTCTTGGCGAAGACATGCAGTCACACTTTTCTCCTTTCCTTTCTCTTATCTTCCCTGCTTAGCGTCTTATGTCCTTGTCTAGTCTCATCTATTTCCTTACTCTTTCCCTGGAACACTCTCTCACAGTCTGTTCTCTAAAACGAAAAGAGGAATTATGGAATTGATCAACTGGTCCCTGAATGCAACTGACACCTTCTTGTCAATGAGAAGCCTGGACTCGGGTATCCTGATGGTACTTTCTCTGCCGGATACATGATGGACGTGTGGCATAACTGGAGGGTCATGTATCTGGTGGGACTGTTGATCGAGGTCGTCAAAGACATCTACCTGTTCGGAACCATGATAACAGTGTTCTTGCTGATCAGAGCTGGCTTGGCCATGGCTTATTGAAGATTAAAGAAAGCACAATCGGCTGTTCAAAACCCCGCAAGGCTGCCCACTGTGATTGAAATGATGGGATGAGTCGTGAGTTCTCAAAATGGGCTCATTGAACGCAGCACGGATAAGATCTTGGAGAAGCTTGAGGCTGCAGTGAGCACTCAGAATAAGACCGCTGAGTAAAAATTGGATTACATCTTGGAAAAGCTCACAGCAGCCGTGAGTTCTCAGAATTTGCTCTTTGAGCGCAAGATTGATAACATCATTGAGAAACTCACGGCTCTCCAATGGGAGCTCGAGAGACCATTGTCAGACTGCTAGAACAGCTTTGAAATTTACATGAGTTGTTTGCACTAAAGTAAAAAA